GATCAATACCACCCTTATATCTGTTACGATAAATATAAGGCTACATCCAGCGGCCAGTTAGCTTAGCATTAAGAATGGAAGCAAAGAAACAGTCCTGTCTAACCGGGTTATTATCAGACTAGTTCTGGTTATTTAGTTAGTTTTAGAGGTGATGGTAGAGTAGAAATAAGGAAGAAAGCAAATAAGCATATTTCCTATAATGTTGAACTGTTTCTTGCATTTTTTTTACACAACTGTTTCACGCTGTATTCTGTCTCGTCCTATGCTAAGGTAATCTAGCATTTATTTTACATATTACATATTTAGTCGATGGATATGACAGTGGTATCCATCTTATCATCTAATAGTTCCCTAAATTTTTTACTAATTTATTAAGTCTCATATCTGTTTTGAAAGCAAAGAAACCTTCAAATATCCTGTTCCTCTATGCTTACCTGCTGAGAAAAGACTGATACGAGATCTTGCCGCTAAATCAGAAAATATCGAGCGTGCATGTTTGACCGATTGCTCCACATGCCCTTCGTCCGGCCCAGAGGCCCTTGTCTGACCTGCCTCCCGGGCCTCATCTCTCACCTCGGCAATGATTGGCATGGCCACAGGTTTCCTGCTCAAACATGAGAGCCCATCTTCAAAGTAATAGCTTACAGCTGCTGCCTGGATAATCCTCATCCCCTCTGTCTTTGAAGGGATGCGGTGACATAATAGCCCAGGCTATTCTTCCCTAAATTGTTATGGTGTTTCTCCGAGTGTTGTTCAATAGCAAAAGGGGAGTAGGTGAGACTGTTGCACGTGTTGCTAAATGTAGCATGATTATCAAGCGCCATAAGCAGCTCCATACTCTCCTCCCTCCCCCTCTTCTCTCTTATTCTTCTGGGTTTCTTTTATCCTGCCCAGTCCTCCTGATGCTTATCACTGCGGCAGAAGCATTAAAAGTAATGTCTGTAGAAGGGAAATCATTGGCAACATGTGGTGAGAGCTTAAGATGTTGTCACACTTTAAGTTGCCCATAATCTGTTCAAAGGGAGAGTGCATAGTTCTCCAAAGTGCCTGGAAAAGGGGAGAAGAGGAAGAGCAGCAGAGAGGCCGAAGTCTCTCAGCTGCACTTGGCCCGGCTGAAGTGTTCATCAGACAAAATAACTGTCGGTCCCTGTTGGCTTTTGTCTTCTTCATAATACAATTTTTTGTTCTTGTCAGTGTTTTTTTTTTTTTTTTTGCATTTGCTAAAAGCACAGCTTGTAGTATTACAAGTCTCAACTGCGTGATAATCTGTCACAGTGAGGAGGAGGAAACCATAGATAACGTAAGAAAGAACAGACAGGGGATTACAGGTATGTGGACACAGGATTAAAAAGAGGGACGTAATGATTCCTCTGGGAGAGAGCTATGTGCTGAGATGGGCTCTTTTTTTTCATTTATGAGTCCAGTTCTGGGGAGGACTGGGTAAATATTGACAGTTCTCTCTGGTTGAGATGCGGCCATTGATCCACACAGGAGGGTCTCATCGCTTGATCTGTGCGCTCAGGTGTGGGAGGAGGCAAGGCAAGAGCTGAGACGTGGGTTGTCATGCTGGTGGTCTTCTTTGTGGTGTCTTTTAAACACAGACTAGCTTAAGGGTGCTGATCAGCCTGCCTCTGCAACACCAGGAGTCATGTTACCTAAGCAGCTGAATGTCCACAAAGTGGATTTTAGGTGAATACAAGTCTTAGTGGGATGGGTCGCTGGGATCAAGTAGAGGCAGAACGTGGTAAATGATCACCTAAAATCACTTTAAGTCTGATTCCAGTCACACCTACAGCACTTTGATATCTTTAATATCCCAGTAGAGCTTTACACAGAGCTGTGAAGTCTCCTTTTCCGCTAACGTTATCAACAGCACCTGTTGATCAGTTTTTCTATATATAAAATTATCATTTACATCTTCTCCTCTGTCTCCCGTTGGCAGGCTGGCCCACTGGCCTGGTCCTCAAACCACTAATCAGGTAATGTTGGGGAGGTTGAATGGCGTGCCTCCCCCTGGTCAACCTTCACTGCTCACACAGCGGTGTTGTTTTAAAGAGCATTCTTTAGCAGCTGAACTTGGAAAGGTATTAAAGTGGGATTAGGCTCCTCCACAATCCACTGCTTGTGTCATTCAGGGAGTTTGTGTTCTCCTCTCCCCACTGCCACCTCCCCACTCCTCCTCTGTTTGATTGTGGCTAGCCGCAGGAGTGGGACTGACTGTGCCTTTCAAAGGAGAGGGGTAGGGTTAAATCCCTAGTCCACTGCTCCCTGCTAATTCTCCTTGTTCCTTAGAGAAGGATTTACTTCTGCTGCCAGCTTCTCAAAGGCCTTCTCTGCCCATCCGAAAAGTCGCCGTTGCCTTCCTGTGGAGGTGTGGTTGCCATAGAAGGGGCGTCATGCGTGGCTATTCCATCTGAACCCCACTGAGAATGGGGACCAGGGACTGAAAACAGGCAAAAAGTCCGGATTAGACCTGAGGACAAAGCAGGACAGGAAGATTCCAGAAGGGACGAATAGGAATTACAGCAGCAAAAATAATGCAAAGTGACAGAGAGGGGAAATAGAAAAATAATGGCTTACAAGATTAGACTCGGCGAGGAGAAAGAAGAAAGGAAAGAGGGCTGAATGAGAATGTTTTCATCTAGATGAGAAGATTTGAGAGAGCGGTCGTAAGTGAATGCAGAGTCCTGGACGTATCAAAACCGTGCTAACAAGTCATTTCCTCAACTTCTTGCTCTCTTTCTTAGCCTAAGCCGGCAATCATTAGCTAAACATTAGAGTTAGAGCTGGGAACTTGTCTTGACAGATTCATCACCTCTGTTCCCCTGATCCCTGCATGTAGCACGCTAATCCCTCTGAAAAGTAGAAACAAGGCCCTGAATATTCAGTTTATCTTTACATGAGTGTGTCGTCGTAAGATTTTCTTTAAAAAAAATCTTTTTTATTAGCACTGTTATTAGTGCCATTCATTTTTTAGTTGTTGTTGTTTGTTTGTTTGTTTGTTTGTTTGGTGGGTTTTTCGCATCAAAAAGTTTTGTTTAGAAGATAGATCCAGGTTGGCAGGTCACTTAAACTAGAACCCTGCTTGTTTGAGAAACATGCCAAAAGTTCTTTTTCAAGGGATTATCCTTGAGGTTTTTCCATAGTTGAATAATAATCTTCTTAACTTATTGTAATAAATGAAAGATTAAAGGATTTCATGAACCCTGTGAGTGCCAGATTCTGATATCTCTGTTGTTTTGCTGCTGCATGATGGTTAAAAAGAAAATGAGTCTTTATAACTGCCGTTTTCTGTGCCAGATACAGGTAGCGATTTTGATCGTTATGGATGAAACCAGTACAATAACCTGTCAATTGATGAATATAATTAAGATAATACAACATTTAGCTCTGCTGATGCTGATCTGAGAAGTGAAGCAATTATTTTACAAAGCTGAAAAGATAACAACTCATCTTCTTTTCAGCATGCATACAGCTGCTCATACACATGCACTTACACGTGTGAACACATGCGCACACACACACACCATATCAGTACTCAATCAGCACCTATAACAACATTACCATAACAAAACCATCCTTTGGTTTCCCTCCACTCATATTTACACATTATATTCATCACTATCGCTCATCCCTGTCCCGAACCAGCAGATGATGTCAATTGCTCATCTTACTGCCTCTCTGCCTTGCACAATGAAATAGATGTTCACCACAAATAGATAGGCGGTTGCCAGCTGTCTTCCAGACCAGGGCAAACAAAGAGGCCACTAATAAATCCAGCTTTACGGCTGGACAAGATCAACCACACTCCCGGCCTTCTTACTCCATTTAATGTGGCTTCTTCTGAACAACACAGAACAAATTAAATGCCTCTCAGTCACCAATAAAACAATGCAAACATCTTCCTGAAAGGATATAAGAGAAGATGGAGGCAGGGTTGCGCCATTGAGGTATGATATTAGACAGTAAGATGAAATATGAACAGACTAGAGGGCAGCCCAGTAGTCAGCAATGAATCATGGTCTCTGATATGGTATCAGATGCATATAGAGTATGGTGGATATGAAAGAAATGTGTAAATTGTCAGCAAAGGCTTGATTGCGATCATCAGGATTCAGTGATCACTGCCCTAGAAAATGATCCAGCCTCTTTGTTAGATTTGTGAGGCGGTTTGGGTGCCCATGACTGAGCTCACTTGGAATGATGCGGGGCTGGGCACACCCCAGAAATTTTAACAGATGAGCTGCTGCCAAAAGGAGTCACCTCCTCGGCTGCCCACAGGATCAGCAAGCCAACTTGACTCTTAATCAAAAACCCTTGATGGGCAATTCAAGAAAAGGCTATGGGACAAAACACACGCCTCACCAAAGAAAAGCAGTTTAAGTGATACTATGTAAATTTTACTGAAAAGCAGACACTGTAACCACTAATGACAATTAAAAGATAACGGTAAAACATAGTAGCACAAGAAACGAAGAGTTGCATATTAGCCACCAGCTACTGGTTATGCCAAAACAAGAAAGGTTGTATCAACAACTGCTGGAGCGTATTTAATTGATGAATGATTATACTACTTTTCATTTCTTAGAAGTGAATAGTCTCACTTCAAAGCAACCTTCTGTAGCTTTTTGCCGAACAGCTGCCAATGTGGCCACAAGTGGTAATTGTAGGGTTATGAAAAATGCTTAAAGGTAGTGTAAAAGTAATCGAAGTAGCAAAGAAGTCTGTGAGCTACCCCAATAATGTCATTGCAGCATTATCTCTAAAAAAGTTTGCTAACATTGGCTTATATAAGCCACCATAAGCTACTGGTCATACCAGACCAAGCAAGGCTGTAGCAGCAAAACCACTGAGTGTATTGAACTGAGCAATTGTGCATTTTATTTCTTATGGTTTTAACTTTTCATATATCAAATAATTATGGCTCCATTTCTTTTTTTTCAGAAGTTACAGTATTGCTTTAAAAAAAAAAAAAATTTCCTCTGTGTGTTCTTCTGTAGATTGTTTGCGACCAAGTGCAGCGGCTGCATGGAGAAGATAGCCCCCACAGAGTTTGTGATGCGTGCTCTGGAGTGCGTCTACCACCTGAACTGCTTCTGCTGCTGCGTGTGTGACCGGCAGCTGAGGAAGGGCGATGAGTTTGTCCTGAAGGAGGGTCAGCTGTTGTGCAAAATCGACTACGAGAGGGAGAAGGACTTACTCAGCTCGGTTAGCCCGGATGACTCAGACTCAGGTGAGCCCTCTGCACCCTCTCACACAAGGGTGAGAACAGCATGGTGGTGCTATCATCATATGGCACTAGGGTGTTGTATTCTGTATGCTCTGTTCCATCACAGTGGCAGCCAACATAGACATCGACCATAATGGATCCAAACTGAATCTGACTGGTTTTAGTGCTATGGAAGTGATATTAAAAGAAAAACAACTAATTTGTCCTTAAACTAGTTGCCAGATCATGTGCTGGGACATCTGAGGTTTTTCATAGATCTTGTATGCAGCCCAGGCAGTAAAAACTTCTAACATGGCTCCATCTGCAACTTTTCAATGGCTGATTTTGTAGCATTCTTATTCAAGAGAGGAGCATAGGTTTACGATACAGTAGGAAGTGGAAACAGGACGAAGCCAAGCCACCCTGTATTAATGGCTCTCCATGCGTGGGCAGGATCTGGTGCTGGAAAGAATTAAATCACTGTATCATGGTGAGTGACAGAGGGATTTGGGGCCTTTCTGCAGAAAGCCTGCTCCTCCGCTCTTATCAGCTCTTGTGTTCCTCGCCTATAGCTTCCACACACAATGAGGCATCTCGCCAAGCCTCACTGTTCACTACCATCTGGCTCACATTTAGACATGCACAAAAGCGGGGAATTTGTCAAATACATCTGTGCCTGTGTCAACTTTTGTCAACTTGTGGGAATATTTGCTCTACGTCTTCCTCGTTTGGTTGTGTCCCGACAATATCGCACAGGCATGTCTTTTGTGCAAGACTCCTCATTTCGACATGGAGAAAATGTTGACATGAACAGAGGTTAACCTCAGCATGTGGCAGATGAAATGTAGGTCTTCAGTGGAGAAATGTAGATACTTATCAGAGAACAGGAGACACTGAGGCATCATGTGTGCCTCTCCTTATAGCCACTAGGCCCCCAAATCATTAGTATTCATTAACAACACTGCTGCTTTTGATTTGGAAACACTTGTTTTCAGCCCCACATAGAAGGATAATCAGTGGGATTTTTTGTTAATTTTTTGTGTTATGTTTACGTAGCTTTGTGGCCTTTCTGGCAGGTGAAACTGAAATGAATCGGTCACTACAGGAGTGCTCCAGTGCTCACAGTGAATTAAATAACATATTTCATGAAATTGTTTTCTTTACCCCTAATAGAGGAGAAAGTTTACTATTGTTGTTACGCCTTTTCCAGTACAAAGACATTTATGATCATTACATTTTAGAATTACTGTTTTAGGTAATGAACTGTATTGAATATGTAGTTATTCTATGTAATAGCTGCAAACAGCAATCTGATTTTAATGTAAAAAATAAATAAACTAACAGGCATTTCCTTACAGAAATCTAATAAAACCTAATTATTATGTTTTAATGGCACATTGTAGGACAGAAGCATAAAAATTACACAGATTTTACAACCCAAAATTGTAATATCCTGCTGCTGTCAGTAAAAATCTAGCCATCCATATGAAAGCTGTCAATTTCTTATTTTAGGTCTGAAATAGAGATAAAAATGTGACTGTCTTGCTGTGTCACAGAAGATGCATTTCCCATATGTACTTGTGTTACCTTTTTCATGTTACACTTGATGTAGTATTCTTATCAGAGATTGATATAGTGTAAATCGAACAAAGCTGAGTGCAATAAATTACATGTGACGCAGTGTCCAGTTCAATGACAAATGTGCATTTTTCATTTTGCTCTCCAAGAGCCATAGACTTCTGTAACTCTAATCGTACATGTGGCCTTTTCCTTTCATAATAAATTGATAACAAAGTATCAAAAACACATGTGTCTCCTTTGATTGTGCACTTGTGGTGTGTGAATCTCCCGGAATATGGAAGAATGAAAATATATTTATCAGCAGACTGTCACTGACTAAAAGGGTGTAGTCAGTTCAAGCTTGTGCTGACAATACAGAACAAATTATTTTTTCTGCAGAGAAAAGTGACGATGAGGAGTTGGACATCAAGCCTGAGAAAGGCATAGGAGGCCAGGGGAAGGGGGATGATGCGAAGGATCCCAGGAGGCCCAAAAGACCTCGAACCATCCTGACCACTCAACAGAGAAGGGCCTTCAAGGCCTCCTTTGAGGTGTCCTCAAAACCCTGTAGAAAGGTAAGACAAAACATAAATAATCTGCTACGACAAAGTGAGGAGAATTTAAAAAGATTTTTTATATTCCCTGGTCTGCATTTGGAGTAAAATATATTTAGATGCCGACCACAAGCCCTACAGTAGTTTCACAAATAAAATTCTCAAATTAAAAAAAACCTCCCCCTCCTCAGAGCTGAGCTTTGAAGTGGCAAGCAGCTTTCTGGTCTGTGTTAACTGAGGCAGGCTGGTGTAACGCAGTCTGCCTGCACCAAATGTCATACTGAGATAGGAGAATTGCCTCCATGGCCAGGGCCTTAAATGAGGCACTGCACCCGGGCCAAGGCTTTGAAGAGGCAATAACCAAGAGGTCCAAAAAGACCACTGCATTCATCCAACGTTGCCTGAAATCAAAGTGAATCAAAGAGTCACTGTGCCTTTTGGGAAACATGGAAGATGTGTTATGGAGGCAAAGTATTTCCGTGTGCTTGTGAAGTTTGTGTTGTTTTCTTGCGGGATGCTGAAGGTCTTTTGTCTTGATGTTTTCAGGTGAGGGAGACGCTGGCTGCAGAGACAGGACTCAGTGTTCGTGTGGTGCAGGTGTGGTTTCAGAACCAGAGAGCCAAGGTGAGATCAGCTAACACGGGATGAATTCAGTTTCATGTCCGCATACAGCCTTGTTCCATCTTCGAGTCCAGCTAATAAATTACCACAACTATGTGTGTTAAACTTATCACTGCATTCCTTTCACAAATGTAAAAAAAAAAAAAAAAAGTCCAAGGAGTTGCAAATCTCGCTCACTCTTGCATTAAATGTCTACGCCCTCCTCTTTTCTGATTATTATCTTGTGAAACCCTTTGATTCTTGACAATGAAGTGCACTCAGATACTGAATTTGTGCAGTTCATTCGAGGGTGAACAGCGAGGAGCATCCTTTCTAAATTAAAGAGTGCATGTTAGTTTTGGGGGTCCCTCACAACTTTGACTCCTTCGTTTCAGATGAAGAAGTTGGCAAGAAGACAGCAGCAACAACAAGAACAACAGAATTCTCAGAGACTTGGCCAAGGTACGATACTGTACATACCCTGCGCACACAAAGGAAGCTCTTTCTATGGGAAATAGTTTTGTAGCTCTATATTCACACTTTTGTTTTTCACATTTTCAAAATTTTTAAAGCACCCTTTCGCGCAAAAATGTGTTCTCGCTTGGTTGTGTGAGCTTCACTGTGCAAGGTGAGGTAGTCTGAGACGTGTATGTGTGTTTTGTGACATCACAACTAGAACAGCTGGGTTTTTCAATGAGGATGAATGAGTAGTTTTTATTTTTTTGGTGGATACAAACGTATTAGAAACAAATTGTTATTTAAAGGAGAGACTTTTATGTGTAATTTTATGTCATACAACATGTAATGTTGACATCAACACTAAACAGCTAAACAGGAATATCATGGAAAACACTGAATCAGAAAATATTATCTTCTTTTCTTCTCCATGTTGTGTTGCAGTATTGTGAAATGTATTGTGAGGAAAAAGCTTGTCTGAGAAAAGAGTTGACAAATTTAATAATTACACTGAATTACAGATTGCAAATATGTCACTATATAAACAAGAACACTTTCAGATATTCTGTCAAGCTGCCAAACAAAATGAATGGCAGACGTCATTTTGCAAAGCCACTGCAAAAGAAAGTGCGGGGGGGTGGGCTCCAGTATTGAAGCCACAAGAGTTTTGTGTCCCTCTCACAAGTCAGTTTGCCAAGAGCAGTGTTTGTGAAGGGAGTTGTGGGAGAAGCCACAAGAAGGACTTTTTAAGGTTTCCATGGAAATACTAACAGACACAGGCAAGCAATCCAGGTATTTGGAAGATATTGTACCCCACAGGCACCAGACTCCCTTTATGTTTGTGAGTATTATATCAGTATTAGTTTTTTGTTCCGGCAGACTAAGAAAAGTGCAAAACAGAAACAAAGATTTAGGTGAGCTTGTGATCTAAAATGACTAGACCTGTATGGGAAACTACAAGGAAGTAGCGTGTCTATACTGTCAGTCCTGTCACCACCAGGGTTTTCCCCTATTCCCACCCTTCTGCATGCACCCATTGTATATGGATGCATTTACACAGTATATATTTGCTCTTATTTCCTTGCAGAGGTAGTAATGTCCAATCGGATGGAGGGGATGATGAACTCCTTCACACCGCTGGCTCCGCCGCAGCAGCAGCTGGTCGCCATGGATCAGAACGGTTACAGCACAGACCCGTTCCAACAGGGGCTCACCCCTCCACAGATGCCCGGGGACCACATGAACCCATATGGTGAGCATCCACCAACCCCACCCCCCACTCCCCAGCTCTTAACCAAAAAAAAAAAAAAAAACCACACTCCTGCTCTAAAAAAACATGCCTGTCCCTTGATCAACCTCATAGTTCCCCAGTGTGGGACATGTGTTCAAGGCACAGCTCCCCTGATTTAAGCCGCTCAAAGAGACGTACACTCAGCTTCTTCTCCTCCCACATGAGGTAACACAAGCGCGCTCATAAGCTATTGGTTTTGAAGTTCATTTTCAAATCTGTTTAATATGGATTTAATTCTCCGCCTCCAGTGGTAAAAGCATGTGGTCAGTCAGACAGCTTGAGATGAAGTGCAGTCCAAACAATGATCGAGGGTTGTGTGAGCTAATGAATCAGAATGAGAAAACAACAAGTCTCTGATTTCTGTGTGATACAGAGAAGAATTAAAATGCAAACAATGGGGGGGGGGGGGGGGGAGTCAATCAAGTGTTAGTCCACAGGATGTAACTGGAATAACACATTTCTAAGTGATGTCCTCAACAAGCCCCAGAGGGACCATTTCCTGAAGTTCATAACTTCCTTATAATTTGCCTCCATTTAGTTCTTCTCGGTAGTAAGAACCCAAATCCCCAGTCTCATCACTCTCCTTTGGTTTGGGGAAAAGAACAATATTGGCAAGGCGTTAAAAGATGTGTCTCAAATCACTGTCCCCGTTTTGTGCAACACTATCATTAAGATCCAGAGTGTAATAAAGTTAACTATTCCCTCCAGAGAAATAACATGTTGAGGTTTTATGAAAGGCGGAACCAGTTGCTATTAACCAGATCTTTTAGGAGGATGCCCCTTGTTTACATGCTCCCTCATAGACCACAATTGTCCCAGTGAGGGCAGCAAAAAGTGTGCTTTGATGATAACTAAAAAAACAGTCTTCCCAATTGTGATGACACACAACAGCAATTTCTCAAAGTGACTATTAGTAATTATAATTTCCCAACACTGCTATAAATCTCAAATACAAGATTGCACTGACTTCACAGTCAGAGTGGGTTTTTGAATGACGCCTCTGCCACCGAATGTTGACGGCTATCTCCGTGTTCTCTCTCTCTGCAGGTAATGATTCTGCATTCCATGACATAGACAGTGACACGTCTTTAACCAGCCTCAGTGACTGCTTCATGGCATCATCGGAAGTCAACTCCATGCAGGCCCGCGTGGGGAACCCCATTGACCGCCTCTACTCCATGCAGAACTCTTATTTTGCGTCATGAAAGAGAAGAGAGCAAAAAACATCAGCACAGAATAAACTGCCCATCTCAACCTAAAGCGCAATGACCAGGAGTTTCTACACTAACATGGACACGACAGAAGAAACACCTCCTTGCAGTAGCTCCTGGTTATGTGCTGAAGCTTACTCAAAGATAGTTAAACCACTTGTTGTAGGACAGTGAAGATTCCTGGGGGGAAAGACTTAAATATTGTTAGAGATTATTCGGTAGGATTGCTTATCTGTCACAGGAGATATTACTCTTTCTTTGTTCACTTAAAGAAAACAAGTAGATATTGAAGCCACTGATTTACACTCTCTCAAACCAAATAGCAGTGAATTTATACAGTGCATGATCGATTGTAAACTAAAACTTTTTGTAAGCCCCCCCCCCCCCCCCCCCCCCGGTGAAGATGTGGTGTTTGGACTGTTTCTTCTTTACACTACATGGATTTCCATGTTCACCGTTAGCATTTTGATCACTTTCAATAGATTTAGATATTGTGTTAATAGTAAATAGGTGCAGCATGTCTGCAAGAGTGACTGTACAGTTGTGTATGTATGAGAGTTTGTGGTGAGAAAGAATTGTTTAGAGGAGAAAAAAATGTGGAGAATTTGGTGGACAAGTAGGATCAGTGAAGTGTAAATACTCTCCCCAGGCAAATTGGATGTGCATGTTAAAAATGGAAAGCATTCTATTTATTTAACTATAACAGGCTCTTGAAGGTGCATATTAAAACTGAAAAAGCTTTATTTAAAAAGGAGAGCATTTTTTTTGTTGAGCAATTAGTGAGTTCATGAGTATCACAACTCATTTGTATGCCTTTTTAATATGAAGATTAACCCTTTTGTTTTGTTTTTTCTTCAGCCAAGCTGTAAATGAGCAATGTTGCTATTTATTTCGTACAGACCATAAACCTTTTGTTGTCATTGTCATATGTGCATTCTCAAAATGTTAAAGTTGCTAATTGACCAAAGTTGACTGGTTTGATGAATAAACAATGTCTTTCTCCTGATAACATTAAATAAATGCCATTCAGTGATCACTCACATGGTAACATGCACCTGCTTCAATGAACAGCCTTTAAAAAGTATTGTCAACTCGTTATGTCAGGATATTTTTTTCCATGTAAGCCATCAGCTGTACGTTGTGTTAAGTGCTACAGTAATGAGAAAAGGCTAACATGCTAACATTAGACGGTGAACACGTTTGACATGCCTGCTAAACATCCGCATGTTACCATTGTCGTGAGCATGTTAGCGTGCTGATGTTAGCATTTAGCTGAAGTACAGCCGCACAGAGGCGTTAAAGTGGGTGTAGACTCCATTGAAATTTGCAACTCAACTGTGAGCACAATCTGTTTACCAGGACGCTGAAGCAGAAACCTGTACATGTAGTGAATGTGAAGTCGGACAAAAGTTCAGGTGACATACCAATACAGCTGCACGACTAGAGTGCGAACCGCACCTATAACCTCAGGGCTTGTCGGGCGGCTGCTTGGAAGTACCATCTGGGTGCTCCTTCATCTCTCTGACAGATCCTTAATGTGGCCAAGCAAGCTTCCCACTGTCTGTTTAGTCATGTGACCACACCAATAAACGGCACATTTATGATGTTCTGTGTTACTATGACTCAATATATTCCTAATGTCATACTCATGACAGGGTTTAATAATCTTGGCTGGTATTCCTGAGCAGAAGCAGCACATGAAATTGTCAAATCTGTGAGGATTTAGAGCACGAGCGCTGTGCGGTATATCTCTACTATCAAGTCTTCAATCTGACAGCCAGGTGTTGGACTTGTTGGCAAGGTTACACTGCCATTCATCTTCACTTGTCAAACCAGTGGGCGAATATCCCCGGAAGCACCGCTGTGACATCATCTTATTCTGGAACCTGATTGGATGAGATTTGTTTGAGTATGCAAATAGTTGAGAAATGGATCAGATCCAACTGACATGAAAATAACTTTTTGGTTTTTTTCCTTCTGAGGTTGCTTTGTTTTAGATTTAAGAAATCTATGTCAAGTTGAACAGGAAACACTCTGTCCGTCACTCTGTATGTTGGGGTTTGTGTGTGTGTCTGTGTGTCTGTGTAACTAGACTTGTGAGGACAATGAACAGGTTTGTGGCAGGTTTCTATATGTGGATTAAAGTGTGAAAGACATGAAAGACAGAGTAAACAGACGTGACAAAGGCTTCCATTTACAGTAAACATGGATGGGGCTGCTACGCACACATTGTGTTTGCACGGGATAGTCAGTACAATTTATCTGAACCTCTCCCTTTTCACGGCAGGCCAGGTGAGCTTACAGGGAGGTGTCTAGGTGTAGAGGAGAACAGAAGGCCCTGACGCTGACATTGTATTGGTAATGTGAGAGTAAACCTTCAAAAACCATAAATTCTAATTCATAAAGGTTTTTGCTAAAATACTGTTTGATTGTTTTTCTTCAAAATTATACACTTTTGTTGGTGTTAGATTTATAGAAAGATATGCATACAGTATCTCAGGTAAATAAAATAAGTATAAAATAAGGTAAAATGGCAGATCATCAAGTAAGGTAACACTGGTTTAAACACATGCAAAAAGATAAACAAACAGACAAAACTACTTTATGACTATTTATTAACCATTTCTTTACCAAATGTTTAAAACAACTGAGGGGTATGCTGTTGCTCCAAGGATCTGCAGCAGTCTATAATAACATACTTTTTTCTTATGGAACTCCTGAATCTAAAAGAAATAACATTATTTGAACTATGTTTTGTTGCAAAATTATTTTTAAAAAAAAATCTCTGATAAGACTAAAAGTTTGTTGGCAGAATTTATTTGGACACAGCAGGCTAGCTGTTCCCCCTGTTTCCAGTTTGTACACTAAGCTAAGCTAAGCTAACCAGCTGATGGCAGTAGCTTCCTATTTACCACAAAGGTGTGAGAGTGGTATCAGACTCTCAGCGAGAAAGCAGAAAAAAAGCATGTTTTCCAAAAGGTTCCCTTAATTTCATTATTCATAGTGTATCTCCTTTTTTCCAAAATATCCAGGCTTCAACTCGGCTCCACCTAGGCTCTGGGGACATAGTATTAGTAGGAGTAGACGGGGTAAAATCAAAAATATAATGCATTTTATTGACCATTTACACCTCTACACTCTACGTCCTTTTACCATTCCTTCTTTTTTCTTACCTCATGTCCCTACTTTCGTCAGTTCAAGCCTCCAGTTTGCCAAACAGTAAAAGGCAATGAATGAATATAACCTATGTCAGTGCTTGTTCTCTGCCACTTGGAGCGTGAATCGACCAAAGACGACACTTAGAGGTTGAGGTACGTGTGGCCTCAATATGAAAACAGTGGTGCTGAAACCTGAGCTGAAGACCCACACACACACTCACAGAGAGTTAAGAATCGGCCTTCAGTAAACTGTTCACACATTTACTCTTCTGCCGTTCTGGCACCACATAGGAAATGAGTCTAGTGACAATATTTTCATTAGATAAACAAAATCCTGAAATTTTCCACCTAAGACACAATTGGAGGTTTGTGATTCATTTTCTCTCTTAACTATTAGCTTCTCTCGCCTAACTCATGAAAAACATACGGAGCTTGGTTTGTTATTTGGGGTAATTTAAAAAAAGATTCACACCAGCTGCCTCATAAAATCACAGCATGACCTAAGACAGTAGCTGAAGAGTAAGCAACAAGGGTGCATATCCCACCATCACTTCATCACACTAAAGCAGTCAGGGAGTGACTCATTCAAACCATGCAACACTTTTATTTTGAAATGTCCATTGTTTTGAATTTACTGTACTTGTAATTGCCATTCCCAGTTGTCATTTCTCAACATTACATTTACAACAGAACAATATTACATTTTTTATACAAACCAAGCCCAATTAATTGTTGCTTTGTAGGGCCAAAGACACTCAGACGTTTGTGGGTTCAGTACAGTCTAGATTTCTTCTCATGATTTCACAGAGTTCACAGGAGTTCACAGCGAGTCCCCAGTGGGAGCAGGGGGGAGCTTTTGGGTGTTTTCGTTGGGCATTTTCCATGGTGTGTGGTTAATTGTTAAGGGAGACTTTAAACCAGCGTCTGACACATATTCTTTGGGCCTTGAGGGCTTGTGCATAATCAAATGACGGACTATGCTGTGGTTTTGACCATAGAGAGGGGTCACAGCCAAACATCCAAGCATGTCCTCACAGCAGTGCATTGCTTTATTGCGTCAGTCAGCAGCACAAAACACTGCAATGGCATGAGGCATTGTTTGCATGCTACATGTAGTAACAGTGATTTACTGTCACTTTATTGATCCAAGAGTAGGAAGCTATTTTTCTGAAATACCACAAGTGATGCAATATAGACAGTTTTATGACCAAGTTAACCACAATTCAAAGCAAGCTTCAGGTACAGTCCATTTAAATCTATTCCTCTTAGAAAGAAATTACCATTTGAACCTCTCTGTAGACAGGTACATGTAAACATATTGCCACAACTTTGTAGTTTTTTGCATCCCCTACCTCTGATCCTGTGCTGAGAAAAAGATGGTGTAGGATTCACCTCTCAGCACCCGGGCCTTGCGGATAGAGCCCTGGATAGGGCTCAGTAATCCCCACCACTATTGGAGCCCATCTGTTTTGGTTTTCATTTTTCAGCATTATTAGTGCTTATTGGTACATGGTCTAGGAATGTAGCCAGGGTGTTTGAAGTCAAAGAGGAGGTGATGCCAGGGGCATTAGTTGAAGGAATGATGACCTTAAGGTCTAACAAAAGCCAGCACTCCTAACCTCCAGGAGCCTCTCCCTTGATGTTGGAATCCAAGTCCTGCACTCTCTCTCTGCCTCGGACACCCTGGCCTCTGCATTTTGCCATTTCATATGGCAATTAAGAAAATTCACTGGCATGAGATTTTCTGGTATGGTGGTGTACTAAAAACTCTGTCTAAATATTTAAAAAAAAAAACTTATGTGGCAAGAACATAAAACCCACTTTTATATTAGGTCCGTTGATTTTGAAGTTTTATCAAACATTATATATATATTCTGCCTCCCATTGCCTATATGACATTGTGCAATTGTTTTTGCAGCAAGGGCAATAAAATAAATAAGAATCTACAGCCATATTAGCATTTCTGCAAGGCTGTATTTAGGCACAGGGGTGCTTTGAGCTAAATGTTAATGTCAGCATGCTAACATACACACAGTGACTATGTTAACAAGTTGATATTTAGTTTGTTTAATGTTTACCATGTTCACCATCTTAGCTAACTGTTAGCATGCTAATAGGAGTGTCATTAGTTTAGCAGGGATTTGGACAAAGTATAATTTTGTCCTGAGGATGGCGCTAGATGTACTGAAGGAATCACCAAAGGGAGTATGATTCATCCTGAGGGGGATAAGAATGTCTGTGGCAAATTTTCTGACAATCTATCCAGTAGTTGTCGAGACATTTCACTCAAAACCACAAACGCCAACCTCACAGTGGTGCTGGAGGAAAAATCAGGGATCACCAAAGTCATTAGGAATACATCCTCCCTCTGGGAACCATGAATGTCTGTGCAAAATTTTGTGCCAATCCATCAGGTAGATGTGGAGATATTTCATAGGATACGTAAAAACAGGAAAAGTAATTAGGAATCATCCTCTGAGGATCGTGAATGTCTGTGCAAAATATCACAGAAATCCATCCAATAGTTCTCAAGATATTTCAGTCTGGGCCAGAATGGTGGGCTGAGACAAACATTGTCATCCCTGGGGGGAAAAATCTACGAAGTAGTCAGGATGATGTTTATGGATCAGTCCTTGTTTCAGAACACACAGTAATATAAGGCCCTCAAAGAAATTAAAGTTCAAGAAAACATTCTAATTGTCCACAAAGTGAATTTTGCTTTTATAATGAGTGTATCAGCTCGAGGCTGTGCAGTGGTGTAATAATGCAGATTAGAATCATCATTGTGTCCTTTAGCTCTAGCAGAGGATAGTTTATGCTCCCATACACATGTAATTTTGGCCTTCTCCTTTAATAAGGACTTAATGACAACATAGATCAAT